AATTTTTATGGAAGTACTGTAGTATTAAAATTAATTGCCCTCGCGTGACTCCTCAGAGCTTGGTAACATAATACAACAAAAAAAAGACATTAAAGACTAAAAAATGATCTCATAAAAATAACAGAAATTTCCCTAGAGTTCAGTTCTCCTACAGATTTTTAAAAAATATTGTGGTGTTATTAGTCTTTGGATACCGTAGATTCGTAATGTATTAATATTGGGAAATGTTGTTGCCTTTTGCTTCATTATTGGGCTTTTACCTGATATTGGCTTTTCCTATAACATAAAGCAATTCCCCCACTCCCCACCACTCTCAAATGCCCCGATTCCTCTCACTACCCTCACCCCATCCTGCACCTGTCTCTTATACACATCTAGATGTGTATAAGAGACAGCACTAGGCCTTTGTCGTTCGCCCACAGTGCCAGGCAACTTGTTTGCTACCTAATACCTGTCTCTTATACACATCTAGATGTGTATAAGAGACAGCATATTTTTTAAATTTAACTGGTAATGTGTTTATGCCTAAAAAGTAGAAAAATACACAAAAATACAACAAAGACCATTTTAAATCTATATTGAAGAGCAAAACGATTGCATAACGCTGTCGCATCGCCTACCGTCACAAGATAAGCCTATTCCAGCCTTTTTAGCTCATTAAAATAATACTTTTCGTTTTTGTACAAAAAAAATAAAACAAAGCAGACCATCAATTTTGAACATTTTGGGTTGGTTGGGAGTGGCCAACACAAATTTTTTTTTTTATTGGCCCCATTGAAAATCATGCATGAAATATTGCACAATCTAAATTTTTATCCACAACAACATCCCTATGAATAGATGCTCGTGGAACTTCACAATCTTAATAATAAATCGATACTTTGTGGTAGATTTTCTCCCTACTTTATGTTGAATTGTCAAACCTACTAATTTAATAAATTAGGCCTACAAATTTTATAATTTTTATGGAAGTACTGTAGTATTAAAATTAATTGCCCTCGCGTGACTCCTCAGAGCTTGGTAACATAATACAACAAAAAAAAGACATTAAAGACTAAAAAATGATCTCATAAAAATAACAGAAATTTCCCTAGAGTTCAGTTCTCCTACAGATTTTTAAAAAATATTGTGGTGTTATTAGTCTTTGGATACCGTAGATTCGTAATGTATTAATATTGGGAAATGTTGTTGCCTTTTGCTTCATTATTGGGCTTTTACCTGATATTGGCTTTTCCTATAACATAAAGCAATTCCCCCACTCCCCACCACTCTCAAATGCCCCGATTCCTCTCACTACCCTCACCCCATCCTGCACTTTGCAAATTAACATTAATGACAGCAACAATTCAGCGATACATAACATTTCACATTAATATCACAATACATAAATCACCTTTCATGGATTCCCATAGCAACAATAATGATCATTCCTCGTAACAAATGTCAAATATTAGGGGGAAAAAAGAAAAACAAGAATGAAAACAAACTGACACAGTGTTGTTATGAAACAGTATCTAAATATACAGACTGAGGCAATATTGCTCCAGGCTGTTTTGCTTAGATCCGCAAGTAGAATGGCTTGTTTGTTTATGCGAGAGTTTCACACACAGTTCATTCTAGCATGCGTGTCCATTAACAGGAAGAATCAATGTTATTTTTATATAGAACGTTTTCTTCTAGCTAGGCAAAATGTATCTGTGTGTTTCTAGGCAACAAGTGTCTACTTTTTTTATCTACATCCTGCACATCTTTTTTTTAAAATAATATTTATAGAGGGTGACCTAGTTAGTCCAAAGAGGTCAGGTGATAGTAGTCCAAATTAAATGATATAATTTGGTACAAGGAAAATAATAATAAATATGCATTTTTAAAGTGCTCTAAACAAAAAATCTCAGAGCGCTAGCTAACTGTGCATAGCTTAATTCTCAGAAAAAGGTGGCGTTTCAATTGCTTTTTGAAGGCATCATGAGATAAATAAATTTGATTTAATTTTGAATTTGTGGAGAAGACAAAAATTCAGTATTACAAAATCATCATCATTATCCTCTTTATCATCATAACCATCTTCAATATCACCATGCTCCTTATCACCATCATCATCATCCTCCTCCTCATCATCCTCCTTATCATCATCATCATCTTACTCCTCCTCTTCATCATTATCCTCCTGATCACCATCCTCCTTATCATCATCATTCTCCTCCTCCTCTTCCTCCTCCTCCTCATCATCCTCCTCCTCATCATCATCATCATCATCTTCCTCCTTACCATTATCATCATCATCATCATCATCATCATCTCCTCCTCCTTATCATCATCATCATTCTCCTCATCATCATCATCATTCTCCTCATCATCATCATCATACATTCCTCCATACCATTATCAGCATCATCATCATCACCATCCTCCTTATCATCACCATCATCATCATCATCTTCCTGCTTATCATTATCATCATCCTCCTCATCATCTTCCTCCTTATCATCATCATCTTCCTCTTCCTCATCATCATCATCCTCCTCATCATCATTATCCTCCTCATCATCATCATAATCTTCCTCCTTACCATTATCATCATCATCCTCCTTATCATCATCATCTTCCTTCTTAATATTATCCTCCTCCTCATCATATTCCTCCTTATCATCATCATTCTCATCATTACCATCTTCCTTATCATCACTATCATCATCATCCTCATCCCCATCATCATCCCCATCATCATCATCATCCTCATCCCCATCATCATCATCATCATCCTCATCATTCTCTCAGTCTGGATGTTTTGGCAAAACTCTTTGCTAAATGAAAAACCCAAGTTTTATTTTTATATTTTTTCAGCCCTCCTTTGACGATTTAAAAAAAAAAAAAAAAAAAAAAAAAGTATAAAAAAAGTCTTGCCGTATCATCATAATCAACCACAGGAGAATCCAATATGCATAAAAGAATAAATGCGGGCTCATAGCAAAATTCTGACACAAACAGGTGAGACAACTGTAATGTGTTTTATATTATATTCCATTTTAGATATCAGTGATATTTTACATTAATAATTTTACGTGACTTATCATGCAACAATGTTGTGTTATATATTTTTGTGTTTTATCTGCCGCTTTTTTGTTTCATTTTACATGTCTACTGAACGCATTTAAAAAATTATAGTATTGATTGTGGGAGTTTGCTAAAAGGGAAAATAAAGGAGCGATGTTTTTAGAATTTATTAGGAAACTAGTTTGTATCATTATTCTTTCTTAGAATGCTCAGCCATGATGAATATCGTGAGACCTGCTTTAGATGATAAGAGACGTATTGCCATAGGTTCTACAAGCTAGAACAAAGTGTTTGCATAGCCCCTAGGCATACACACTGTCTTAAAAAACATCAGACTAAATACAGATTTAGAAACGTACAAAAAATATTAGCAAAAATCTCACTTATCACTCATCTGATCGTCGCTATACTGTCTAGCTTTAGGTGGAACAAATAATCTAAATGTATACAAAATATTTTCAACGCTGGGGCAGACACATGGGGCAGGGGAATACACATGGGGCGGGGGCATTGGTGCAGATATATTGTATTAAGAAAAATAATTGTTTTTTGGAATGTTTAATATGAATTACCAGTAAGATTGTTAAGGTATGAGAGTGCAATTTCTGGGCACCTAGAGGTTCATATTCTCAAAATGTTCTACCCTCAGCCCCCAACCATGGTGGGGCAGAGGTGGTGACTCTCACACACCCCCTACTGCCAAATCCTGCATCCGCCCCCAGCAACGTGACAAGCGTATGTAAGGAACGCAATGGCCAATGTGCTAAAGTATATTCACATACGAATGAAAAATTGAAAGCGCATTTTTGCCATGCACACGTCTATGGTTAAGTGTAGTTGCAGCTGTGTTAATATGAACAAATATTGATAACAGTTAATAATGAGGCAGCACTCTGAGACTAATCTTAAAGATGTAGTAATTTTATTAGACACACGCTTTCGCTGAAGTCAATACCATCTTCATCTTTTGTGTGATTAAACTTTCAGTGATGCAGCGCTGGTAACACAAATGGATCACAAGTAAAAAGATTAAAAGAAAAGCAAAATGAAAACAGAAATTGAACTAAAAACAAAACTAAGGAGTTAAAGAAAAACAATATGTACATAAATTAAAAAAAAAACTACTATATCAAAAACTACATTACTTAAAACTAAATTTTAACCAAAATTGAAAAGGAAAAGACAAAAAGAATATCTGTTAAACTTTAATAAAATATTTTGTCTAGAAGAGAGTAACTAAATAATGTTAAATTATATCGTTTAAATGATTTTTAAAAGACTGTATCGACAGTTCATTAAATATCCTTTTAATTTCATTTGGAAGGTAAATTATTTTATTTCACAATTCATATTTACAGTAATTATTTTATTTTCACAATATCTATAGTGAGTCAAACTCATCATCATCATCAACTTTCAAGATATAATGTGAGTCAACTCCTCATTATCATCATCATCATCAACTTTCGAGTCTGTTTTCCCGCTGGCTCTATAGTTAGCTGTAAGGTGGGTGTATCACACGAGACCATGTTAAACATCTGGATTGAGGTTTACAGTAATATATAAAACAATAAACAATTAGTAGAGCTCTGCATAGTACGCTATAGGAAAATTATTATACGAAGGTTAGATTTAATGCTTGAAAAAATTTCCTGAGGGCCTTCAAGGTACTTGCTTGAAAATTTTTTTGAATGTATTACATTATTTTTGAATGTATTACATGTAACCTAAGTGCACGATGTCTCCGCGGTGACAAAAATATGAGGAATTTTTTTTGCACACAAACCTAAAAAAAATCAAGCCAAGCGTCTACTAATTGAAAAATTAGTGGATGGTGGGGAATAGGAAAATAACATTGGGAGTTACAGTGATGACGTCACGATTGACTTATAATATTTTTTAGCAGATTACTGACTAAATAATAAATACATACATAAAAATACTACCTTATCCGCCTCAATATAAATAGGCCTATTAAGTATCATCCATATAACGTTCTCACTGCATGGAGGCGTAGTCGTTGATCCATGGTACGTTATGTAATCTTTTGTTATTGGTAGCAGTTCTTTGACATTCATTCGATTTAGAGGTGTTTTTGTATCTAAAAAAGAAAACAAACAATAATAATTATATATTCTCCTGCATTGTTGTACTGTAGTCAAACTTGCCAAATTCAATTGTGTATACGGTAAGTTGTAAGTTGGTCAATAAATTATTTTCCATGCTACCTACTTTAAATTATAAATATTTACTACAACTTGATAAATCCAAGTCAAATAACAATTGGTCTTTATTCTGTAATTCAAATTCAACTTTTGAGATACAAACAAGTTTCCACTAATTTACAAACTACAAAAATCATTGAGGACTAGTTTAAGGTAATAATGCAATGAAAAAAAAATACATTTACTTTTAAATTGGCAAGGAATGCTTTTTTTTTTTTTAGAATTTCCAATGGATAAATTATCAAAAACAAAATATAAACATATGCCTGGTTGTAAAAAAAACCCAAGAATATTTAGTATTAAATGAATAAACAAAAGTTTGTAATAAATATCTTGTAGAAAAGATTGAGATACAAACAAGTTTCCACTAATTTACAAACTACAAAAATCATTGAGGACAAGTTTAAGGTAATAATGCAATGAAAAAAAATATATTTACTTTTAAATTGGCAAGGAATGCTTTTTTTTATAGAATTTCCAATTGGATGAATTTATCAAAAACAAAATATAAACATACGCCTGGTTGTAAAAAAAACCCAAGAATATTTAGTATTAAATGAATAAACAAAAGTTTGTAATAAATATCTTATATACATACACACACACACACACACACATATTTTTGTTAGTTTTATACATATTCCTTGATGTATTAATAATTTTAATTTTTGTGTAATTAATATAAAAATGTATATTGGATAATAATGAAGTATATATTTTATTAAATAATTATAAATATTAACAATTGGCACCTTCCTTAACCTTGGTGTCTTTTTTTAGTATGGTACAAGTAGGTAGGTAGGTAGGTAGGTAGTATGTTTTTAGCTTTTGTTGCATTTTTGTTTGTTTTATACCTAATGAAAATAAATAAATAAATAAGTCTGTCTATAAAAAAGGGAAACTCTATGTGGTAGTTTATGCATAAAGATTCACTTTTATATTATTTCACTTTTGTATCTTTGTTTATTTGTGGGAAGGAAAAAAATAGCGCTTTGGTATTAAATGAATAATGAAAGGCGTATCTAGCTGTCTTCCTAAACCAAATATACAATAAGTAAGTAAGAATAATTATATTTGGTGTTAAATGTCAAGCAATCCGTTAATTGAGAAACATTGTCTTCCCTGATAAGTTACAACCTAGATACGCACATCACATTTTAAAACGCAATAATTTAGCATTATATAGCTTCGTATAATGGTATGTCCCATGGTGCATATTGTATACACAGTACTGTAGCTTTAGACATCTTATTATAACAGAAGTCAAGATTTATTATAGAAATACGATTATGCAAATGTGTATATTATTGCCATAGCGATGAGCTTTGAGAAATTGCATATTTTCCTCAAAGTGATGTAAAGACAGTAATTTGTAATCTAGATATATTTAATTCATTTTGTATTTTTTTAGTACAGTTAGAGATTCTTTTTTTTCCCCACAAGACATCAATAAGAGTGTAAGACTGTGATTATTCCTGCAAACCACATACTTTATGGCCACGTAGAATGTACTACAGTAGAGGGAAATTCATTAGAAAATCACAGCTCAGTTGGCTCTGGTGGTAGCCACTGAGCATGCGCTGAACCCAGATGTCCAAAGTCTCCCTGAAGTCGTGGGAGTCTCCTGTAAATCGGGACGGCCTCCCACACCCCCATAAGCAACAAAAATCCCCGGAAAATAACTTATCTCCTGCAAATTCATTCAATATTTGTATGTTTTTTTTTTAGTATTTTTATTATCAATTGTCTCACGGAGGTCATTGCCGATCCGTATCACCATGTGCGGCAAAATATAATTAAATACGTTAAGAACGTTCATTTAACCAAATCTCCTGGAAGGGATTCCTTCCTACTTGGGACTCCTGTGAACCACGGAAGTAAACTTGGTTTCTGATTTAGTTCCATCACTGCTCTCCTTTTGCTTCATGCAAGTACTTTATAAAAAAAAAAGTGCACGGTCTTTTAGAAGTGATGTTAAAGTTGTTGGTTCCCATGTGCAATACGGCCCATTAACGTGCATGTTAAGGCCAACTCAGACAGCATCATACAACGCAGCCCGACGCGATTCATCGTCGGGGACAGTCTTGAGCCGTCGTGAGAAATATTAAACATGTTCTATGACGCGTCTGCCTTTCACTCACATAGACCCGACGCGACAACAAATTGCGTCAAGCTGCGTCGTACGACGCTGTCTGAGTTGGCCTTAACCCTCTAGATACCGTCTTCGACTGTAGTCGAAATTGACCTCAAACCGAGAATTCCCATTTTCGACTGCAATCGAAATTTCGTGACTAAAAAATAGGTTGTTTTCAAATCGCTATTCTGTTTTTATTTTAGCTCCAATACGTCAGAGATTTTGAACACGCATGCGTAAAGCTTTTGTCTTTCGAAATCTGTGAAGAACTCACATGCGCTTATATAAAAATGTTTATAAATATCAATTTGAAATCGTTATTAATTTCAAAATTTTTTCGAAATGGCCGCACAAGATGTGTACACAGCTGAGCAAGCGATTGACCTGATTTTTGATTCAGACAGCGATGAAGGTGAATTTTTAGATGTGCGAGACTTAGACGTGCCTGTTAGCGATAATGACTGTGGGGCTTCAAGCAGTTCTGACGGCGGAGATGTTCTTGATGAAGATGAACCTAGGCCTAGAAATGTGAGGGTAGTCGACGCTTTTGAATGGAAAGATCGCGCTTATAGTTATGGATGGTTGGGTAAATAATTTATATAACTGTGTGGAATAGGAATGTTTTATATTTGTTTTTATTTTTTTTTGGCTATAATTTATTTTTTTTCGGTTTTTGCTGACGATTTATATGTAGCATTTTTCTGTCATTTCTATTATATTATATATATATTATATTATATAATATTATGAAAAAAAATTCCCAAAAATATAAATTATACATCAAATGAAAGCTTATTCTATAAGCTTTCTTTGTTTTTGAAACATTTTTCTGTATAATTTACAGAAAGTTCCCAAAAATCCGCCAGAACGACGTATATTCCCAAAAATCCACCAGAACGACATATACTCAAAAAACGCAAAAAACCTTGTTACACTGCAAAAGAATCCGGTATTCAAGGGTTTGCACTACAAAAGAATCCGGTATCCAGAGGGTTAAAAGAACACAGCACACTCTTCAGAGAATACGTACAGTATGCTTGCATGGTGTCCATATCCCCATCAGAGGCCCACAAGAAACAAGTCTTCATTCATTCATACTTTCATTCATTGATGACTATAATATATATTTGGAATTTTACATCAGTAGCACACTTTAAAAAAAGTAAAGGTGTATCCAAAACACAAAACTGATTACAAGATACGTAAAATTATAAGAACAACTAAAACTTAAAACCAACTCAAAACAGCTTAAATTAATCCATCCCTCCCTCCTCCTTTACTAAAAATCAAATGTTATCCCACTTTCCACAGATAAATTAGAACTAAACTTTATCGCTTCTTCCATCCCAAACAATGCAAACATTTACCCCTTCCCCTTAAAACAGTAATGCACAAAAGAAAAATGAAAAAAAAAAAAAAAAAAAGATTTTATTTATTCATTTATTCATTTACTACATTCATACATTTATTAATTCATTCAATAATTTATTTAATCATTATTACTTATAACTATGATAGTGTGGATTTGAGTTATTTTATTATTATTCGTTCATTGCATTCATTCACTATACATTAATTATTTCATTAATTCATTCATTCAATAATTACCTATAATTATGATAGTGTGGATTTTGATGGAAAGTAATTTTATTTATCGCAGTAGGCTATATTGAATAATTTGATGTAATTTACACCTGAAGACCAATACCGATACAAAGCTCAATTGATTTCTTAACACGTACGTATGACAATCACCGAAAATCAATGCGTATACATTCATTATGTAATTGATAGAAAAGATGCAATTTCGATATGACAATCACTCAACTTCGTACACAATCAGGGGTGCTATTGTTTAACGACCGTAACTGATTCCTCCTTTATTTTGTCGTTTGTTTCGATAGAAACCTTAGAAACTTGGCATGACAAGCAATATGATTTTATATCAAGTCTAAAAATAATTTTAGAAATGGCAAGAAGAAAGACAATAAGTGCTCACTGTTATTCATGTTACATGTTATTGTTTGCAATTCATTAATAATGTATATTGATAGCACTAAGTGAAATTGATTTTACTGTAGCTTTATCTTGTCCCTAGAAGTGATACATGCATTCTCGCTGATTGACCAGGGTAAAAAAAAAAAAAAAAACGTGTTTAGTGTTAAAAAGGTGTGCGACGAGATGAAATACAGCAAACCCTATATACCATACACTTTGCTAATCATAATTCAACCGCCACTTTCTACATTTCATAGCCTTGTGTGCTGATTTGTACCAGTCTAATTTTAATTCTTTTCCGCAAATCTCACGCATTTAACAAAAACACAAATGACAGATTTGTTACAGAAACTCCATCTGGAAAAACCTTGGGCTTAATACGTAAACATAAAAATAGCATTTCCCTGCTTAATAACACCATATAAAACTAAACATACACACTGAACGCGATCCTACCGTAGAATGACCACATTCCCCTAATTAATCTGCATACGACAAAACCACGTATGCACCTGTCGCGTACTAACAGCCATACCACTTCACTATTTTGTGCTATACATTGTACCACACGAAAATTCCAATATCTAGCACAGGGTTTTAACTAACCAAATGTACCCTATACAGTCCTTAACTGAAGTATAATCAAACAAAGGCATGCAATACAAAATTTATACTACAGTAGAAGTCAATAGGCAAAACAAAGACTTTTAAATATACATTGGATTAGATTGGATTTATTTGGTTTAAACACCAAGGATAACCCACAAAAG